GTTTGCCGTCCCGCTTACCGCACACAAAGGGAGGCACACACCTGTATTAACGGGACGATCTAGCAGCAATCTAACAGCCCCATAAACTACCTTTATATAGCCACAATAAGAAAAAAATCTAGTTTTTTAGGGTGACAATGTCATAAAACATGACGATGTCATGAAATATGACGATGTCATGAAATATTATGACAGACATTTGATGTTTCATTTGAAAATGTCAGAAAATAGAAGCTTATGTAAAAAAGAATATCTTGTGTGGTTTTTGCATGTTTAGTGTGGACATAAAGTCGGGTGAATGGTCACAAGTTTTAAACTGAGCATTAGCTGGTGAATCCTATGTGTATTATGCAACCGGCGGTATACAAAGGGGAAGTGTACTTTTTGAACGGAATTTGCCCTTTCGCTTCTGTGCCACTGTCACCTGCTCCACCAGCAAACTGATCCGACTTGAACAACTTGTTTTTTAAAAATCACAAATTTGCCCGACAAATGTGATATGAAGCATGTTTAAAATTGTAAGCAGTAAAATGATACTTCTGTTTAAAGGCATTGTGACTGCAATATGATATTATTTATATATATATATATATATATATATATAAAGAAGTTTAAGATATTACCACAAATGGTGTTGGGGTTATGTCACAGAAAAGGTGGACCGGCACCCCTCGGCTGATGAACACAGCTGCAGCCAGGCTGGCGAAGCGCTTGCTGTTGCCCCCGCTGGGCGGGTGGGCACGGGCGTCGTACCCGATTACCACCCCTCGATCCTTGAAGTTATCAAAAGTCTTCTCCAGGTAGCTACAGAAACCCTGTAAGATATTTTCAAAAAAATTTGGGGAAATAAGAGAAATCGTGTGTTTAAAATGCAGTGAAGGATATTTCACAGCAGCTCCACTGAGATCCTACAGTGGCATGTAACAAGATGTTGGCATGTGAGCTGTGCAGCCAACCACTAGAGAGTTTGGAGTGTCTTCAAACAGCAGAGAGCAAGAATCAATGACGTGCACGCGTGGCTTTGCATGCGACTTGATGCTTAATGTGTGGTAGCAGTTTATCTGTTCACCGACCTGTGTGGTCTGGATGATAGTGAGCTCGTTCATACAGGATGTGCCGGGGCCCATGGCTGCTCTCAGACCTGCTGTACCAAACTCCATCCTGGAGGAGAAGCATTTCTTCAGAGCCTCCACCGCTCCATCTCTCACCAGGTCCCGCACCATCAATGCTGTCTTAGGGTTCTGAGGGAGGAAAATCATGCCCACATGTTTTATATACATTTACCTATATTTATCAAAAACTGTAATGTAGCGCTTACAACTGGACATCCTGTTAGCAAAGACAGTATGATGATTTCTGATGTAAGATTTAAAGAGATTGTTTATGTCACTTCTTAGGGCTGCCAATTGTTTTGTTTTTTTGTCTGTTATCAAGAGTAGTTTTAGCTGTTTTACTTTTGAAAATGACTTTAAAAATGAATTGATCATCAAAATGTTTGGCAAGATGTTTTAGAACACATCTTTGCCGATAACTGCAGTTGAAAATTAGCCGAGAGGCAGAAGTGTTGTTTTAAGTCTGTTGTCTTTATAAAACTAATAAAGTGAAATGAAAATAGTTAATTTCCCGTCAAATCGTTGATCGATTGTTTCAGGTCTAGTTCAGATTGTGTGCAGTGCCGAGGACGTTTGTTCCCCTGACAGACTTACAAAGGCAAGACATCTTTGTCAACTATGGTGCATTTCAATGTGACTGAATGAATGTGTTCATTTTCTATATAAAGCATAAACTTAAGACCAAAGAATTAGTCTGGTTGAAGGAAACGTTAAATACAGAACAATTGTGCTCTGCCTGTATTTTCACGAATAAAAAAAAAAAAAAAAAAAAAAAAAGGTCTGGTTACAAATTGGAGTCATAAATACAGCGAATGGGTCCATGATGCCTCCTATTGAGCAAGCCGCCCTAATGCAATCATGTTGAGACTAATGAACCAGGGTCTCTCTTCCTGTGTGCCCCGATTAGTGGCATCCCATGTCTCGTAAAGACCATGAATGACTCGGTTTGTGTTGGTCAGATGGCCGGATGTATGTTAGCCTGCTTACACATCTGTGTGCTCCTCAACAACACAGTAGCACATCAGTCTGTATGGAGGAGGACCGTCGTGTGGCACGTGAGGCTTTTATATTTGATTCATGCATTTACAGCACAACCTACTGGGACTTTCCTCCATGGTAATTATATCAACATAAAATATATAAAGGTAACCTCCATTGAAGAACTGCTCCATTGAAGAACCAAGTACAACTTCCTGAACTGACTTTATAGGTCAAACTAAAAATTAATTGACAATGATTGGTCTGGAAGGGGATAATAAACAGTGACACTATATTCTCATGAATTAACATAGCTAGTTCTTTAAAATGTCTTTATAGCAATCATTAAGAAATGACAGATCTGTAAAATACAGCATTATAACGTAGCACAATAAAGTTTAGCTAATTAGCCAAGAGCTAACAATGAAGCAGCAGCTAACGTTGTGTGTAGCCTTTCCCTGACACAGCACCTGATGCCACACATTAGTGAACTAGTGAGTGTTATATTTTTAAACAGCTGTTTGACGTTACCACTAATTATCCTTCGTCGTTTTCCTAATGTTATAAACAACCCTACATCATCACACTGGAAGTTAGCCCAACACTGAATCACGTAACTGTATGTAACGCCAGGTAGACACACTGACCACGGCTCATTAAGCTAGCTCGCTAGCTTTCAGCCTACCTTGTCGTACTGCAGCCACTGGCTGACAGCCTGGTCCAGCATGGTGTCCCCCGTTGAGGACAAACCGTTCTCCATTTCCCTTCTTTGCAGAGCCGAGACGCTGTCAGAAGCTTACTAACTGATGGTCACACGAGGCGAGCACGCTCACGCGGAAGCCTTTGACAGCACAGGTCGAGAACTGCAGCTGTAAAAACGTGACCACTCGAGCTGTCCACAGCGGGCGGGGCGGAGCGACGTAACGCGTCACGAACTTCTCATCTGTTGCATTCACTGGTTGACGCAAATGTCGAAATTACGGATTACGTCGCTGACTGTTTCCAACAGGTGGGAAGTTTAATAACGTAGTTCAGTTATTGCATACATTTAATCAAGTACTGTGTTTACTGCAGTACTTCACTTTGTTGTACTTTCACTGTATTATGTCCTTTTTTATGCCACTTAACACTACAGGGTGGCCAACTTTACAATTTAGTTTGGATTGAGAAAGGAAAATTGCCCTCAGTGTTTAGATGGTCATCCTAAACAGTTGAATGTGTCAGCAAAACTCTAGTTTCCCTGTACAGTAATGTACAGGGAAACTACTTCATATTGTATGCAGTCATAGTCAGGAACATTTTGAGCAGAAAATTATTTTTTTATTTACTTTTATTTGGTTTATAAAATGTGAGAAAGATTGGCATTTTAACAATCTTCATTATTTTTGGCCATTACTGGTGGCATTGACAGCACATACCTTCCCCATGTGATCGTTATGGTGCTGCAACCAAATGATTTTAATGTATCATCAATATAAATTGCATCACAAATGCAATGTAAATAATTATGGAGTATCTTTAAAAAAAACCCTGTGTGAACAGGTTTTATATTAATCACACAAACTTCTCTTCCTGAATGAAGGAAATAAGAAGTCACGACAGAGCACTCAAGTTGTATTTATCACAGAGACTTCAGGCAGCCAGTATTCATGTTATCAAGGAAACATCTCAACCTCTTTTCTTTAATCATGTTCACTGAATTGATGTAGTGGATGGTTGAAAGGGTCAATACCATCAGTGATGCATTCTATCCAGATCATAACTTCCTGCAGAGTTGCATCAAACATGTGTAATAGAGGTATTTACCATATGTTCATATATTTAGATCATTTACAAATGTAGTGTAGAAAAAAAAAGGGCATCTCTTCAGTTCTAAATGAAAAACGGACCATTTCCAAGAGTATTTGGAAAAAAGATCCCCCTTTCTTTGGGAAAGCAGAGGCACTAGGAAATGATCTAATTCTACTTCAAAGATCAGAGTCTGTTTTTAATTCAAATTATGTGAACAACGAAATGAGAGAACATGATAAGGACATCATTTGATCATCTTAAGCATGACTTAATAAACCATTTACTGATAACTGATAAGTTAAGGCAACTAAATAATTTGCCGCTGCCCGTTAGAACTGTGGAGATGACTTAAGACTGAATAAAAGCAGCTTTCTTTCCTCAGCAGACATTTTGACTCCTCATTGTAGGAAAATCACAAGTGGAAATAATAACATTGAAAGGATAGCTTCACAATTTTTCTTAAATCCCTTCTGTTCATACTGGACATTAAAAGATCGAAAATAGGTCATTTTGAGCAAAACTGTATTCAGAAGTTTATCTGAAGCTAATAGGATACTTCAGCGGTCTGAGTTCGACAAATCAAGTAGATATCTTTCAAAGTTACGTACTTTTTAGCACTGAATTATGTGCCCCAGTAAGGCCCCGACAGCATGACAGGGAGTCGGTCGTGCACGACGCCAGGACCCTGAAACATTCAGCCTTCATTCATTTCATTATTTACGTCTATGCTTTTCCTACTGTGTCAAAACATCTTCAGTAATAAAAAGAAAGTCCGATGAACCCCTCAAAGCAGCACTGGCATCTCCAACTAAGACCTGAGTCTGCATAATGTCTGAGACATCCCGTAACGTCATGAACGCAAGCTTTGTGTACGGGTTCTGCAGACGCCTCCGCCTCACACGAACCGCCGCTATCTGCTATGTTTCCTCTGTTTGATGATGAACAGGTTCTCATCCGTCGGGTGTACATCTGCGCGGTTCTTCGCTTTTTGACGATTCTTCTTGTTCTTCTTCCCCTTGTGCTGCTTCGACGCCGAATCCTGCATCTCCCCGGTCACAGTCCAATGGAGACGGTCCGGCCTGCCCTCTCTGTGCACTTCTGATGGCGCTGAAGGAGCGTGCTTCCTGTTCTTCGCCCTCTTCCTCGTCTTCTGTATATCCTTGCCTTTGCCTCCACCTCTGGGAAAGTCCTCCGCTTCATCCACGAAGACTTTAGCCGCTGGGAGAGGGTCTTTGGAGGTGGGAACCGGTCTCTTGGGTTTCCATGTTTTCACATTGCTTTCTTGTTGCTTGTGCTTATTGTTCTTTTTGGTTTTGGGCGCTGCGGCCCCGAAGACGTCGCTGTCCTTAAAAAAGAGGTGGTTGGGTTTGTGGGTGTTGGGGCTCTGGCGAGGCGTGTGGTTCGCCTGGTGGTAGCTGTTGTGATAGCCGACTTTCTGTTTCTTCTTTGGCGGTCCTGGAGTGAGAGGGGTCTGAGAGCTGGCCAGAAGAAAGCCGCTTTTCTTCAGTTCTGGGGGGAGACGGAGGCAAAAAGGCTTTCGTTATTTATTTGGTCATGAATAGTCAAGTTTGACAAAAGCCGTGTGGATATTTAACCCGACTCTGGTCATGTTTATATCTCTGCATACAGCTACATTGAACAATGCAAAATCATAACAGCATAGCAGTGTGAACCATCAGCTCTGCTGTGCTGTGATTCAAGTAGAGGATCACTACCGTTACCATTTACTCATCACGTACATCTGTTTGAGTGAACTCAACAGTTTAGCGTTTAATTTTTTTAAATAACTGTCAAGAAAATGTAATCTTTTGTCTTCCCACCCCATCAAACTTTGTGTACGGTTTGACCCCTAATGCGTGGTGGAAAGTAATTAAGTACATTTACTCAAGTACTGTACTTGAGTAAAGTTTTATGCCATTTCTACTCCACTACATTTCAGTTGGAACCTTTTTTTTTACTGCGCTACATTTATCCGACAGCTGCAGTTACTAGTTCCTTTCCAAAGAGATTTTTACAATAAAGCACAGATTAGAGAAAAATTAAAAAAATACATATATAAATTTGTCTAACATCGCTTTACTATTCTTCTTTTCTGTCCCATTAATAACCTCACGATTGGACTACATTACCAAACAGTACATACTGTCTAGCTAAAAAGGTACGATGCCGCTTACACACTGATGTATCAGTATTAACAATCTAACAAAGTCATAAATAATAACAAATAATAAATGAATAAAGTACTTTTTACTTTTAATACTTTAAAGTTCCCCTCGGGACACGTTTTAAGTATGTAAGAACACTCTGCTATGATAAACATTTAGTTTAACATGGTTTTCCCACATAAAAAGTTCATTCTGAAATTGTTCTCCACGTTTGACTCAGATAAAAAGTCTGCACCAGAATGGGCGACGTAGATAGCATCTTTTGTTTGTTGATGCTGCTTGTTAGCTTGTAGCTGGCAGTGGCTGACAAAAAAAAACTGCACAACCCTACTGTGTTTGCTGTCAAAACGTTTCACTTTGCTCATGACAACTCCCACACTCTGCTCTCACAGGTCCTCTCTGCGCTGGAGGTTTCAGTCTTGTGGCTCAGACTTCTTCCTCTTTGACACGTGTTTCCGTTTTTTGCGTACCAGACATCGGCTTTTGATTTTGTGATGTACCAAATCTAGCTTGAGTACGTTTTGAATCAGATTTTTAGGGAAGCGCACAGACATTCCCCCGTTCAGTAGAGGAATGTGGCACTTCTCCAGCGACAGCCTTTGTTACAGATACAAGTCAGCATAGTCAAGGTCAAACACATTTTGAGTGGGTACTTTTACTGAAGTACAACAAAGTGTTTTTATCTTGCAATGGAGTATTTTTACATTCATGTATTGGTACTTTGACTTAAGCAAATGTAAATACTTCTTCCACAACTGCCCCCTAACAAACCCTTCAGCTTTATATAGTGGCAGAAGGCCAGAGGTCAGAGAGACGTCGTAATAAAGACGAGCAGATGGAGCGTTTGTGTGACTCACCTTTAACCTTCGACACGATCCACTTTTCTCTGCTTCCGACGTCCTTCTTCGTGTCGTAGAGGTTGATGAACGGGGTGCTGGGATACATCCCGTTGTACATCCTCTGCCATTTACACGCCTGAGGGAAAACACACAAATGCATGACACCATGTGTACACACACACACACACACACACACACACACACACACACACACACACA